TTGCTCACTGCCATTCACATTCTCTTTTGAAACTGACAGGGCAGCCACTATTGATGAATTGCCCATCACAACCTTAGAGGAAAAAGAGAATATAATGAAGCACGAATTGGCTCTTAAAGATTCTCCTTGAAGTGACAGATCCACCTTTCAATGGTCAAAGCAAGTCAAATTGCTAAATCTAACTTCCATGGAGAACGGAAATACTCCACAGAGGGAAATCAGACTTTGGTGAATTGAGGTCAAAATCCAGCTGAGAGCCAGAAGCTTAAATCCATTCTCATTTCTCTCTAGAGGACTGAAAGGCCTCATGCAAGTTAACTGCTAGTATCCTGCCCTGAATTACCAGATACCAGAAATAGGTATAAATATACCTTTTGGGCATTATAAATCAAGATGTAAATCTATTCCTTAAAAATAGTTTATTATTAATATACTATTTTAATATGTTAATTAGGAATGAGATCTATATAAGTGGAATATAAATATTTAGTATTTTCAAAGGTATTTAATATGCTTTTGATAGTCATAACTATTTCAAATTTTTCCCATTTTGTTCTTTTGCCCAACCATTCCTGAAATATTTTCCAATGGACCTTATTTTCTGATTTCTCTTCTATGGGGGAACATACATAAAAATCTCCATCAAAATAAAATAAGGTGCCTGTTAAAATATCACATTCCTAGGTTATACATCAAAGTAACAGTAGATGGCCCCAGGAATCCATAGCTTATTGCCCAGAAACACCATATGGCATTAATGTTTGGAAAACACTGGCCTAGATCATATGGCCTGAATCTGTTCACTAATTTTAATGAAATCGCTGGCCAGCCATTAGGGTTGTTTTTATGCCTTGTTTTATTTCTTTCTTTCCTTCCTCTTCCTCTCACCCTCCCCCCACCTTTTTTTTTTGTATGAGATTTAGGGTTAACTCATTTAGTTCCAATAGTTGGTATATGGAGGGATTTGTCATTTGCTCCAGAAATTCACCTGGGGTGCAAAACAACTTCCAGAGAGAAGCATTCATGTTTCATCAATTTATCATTTTTTTAGTTGAAAATTTATAGAATGCTGAGGAAAATTTTAAATAGAACTCTTGAAAAAAGCATATTAAATGTGGTGGCTGTGCATGACATCTTTAAGGCTATAACTGAGAATCTGTGTTTAGGTCTGCAAGTAAAATGTGATCAGCTTGGATGAACACACAATCCAATTCATTCTTCTCAAATTTACAGTTGAATCCTATTGTCATTGTTGAATAATCGTGTGCTGATTTAATTGCATTGAAATTAATATGTGCAAATGTGTCAATGGTGGGAGCCGTGTCCTCACCATTGCCAACCCTCCCTCACTGTCATCTCTGAAGTGATCGTGACTGTTAATCTACGTTTTGCTCCTAAAACTGTGTAGTTAATTTAAAAAGGTTGATTAGGGAAGATCATTCTTTCTTAAATCTACAGTGTGAAAATTAAAGAAATTATAGGATAGATATTTTAAATTGTTACACTTCAATTTTCAAAATAAACAAAATTATTTTATGTGATATATTGATATAGTATTTTTTTTCAAAGTATGTTATTGACTCTATCTGAGAAAGCAAACTAGACTAAGTTTCTAGTTTTCTTTTATCCAGGGTTTTTAACTCACTATCATTGGCAATGTGGTGTCAACTATACAAATGCAGTCATAATGAGGGAATCTTTATGCTGTGCATCAGATTTCAATGTGTGCCTCATTACTGCATGAGGAACAAAAGGATGAAGGAATAATCTGTTTACCAGGGTTTTGAAGAGTTGAATGAGTCATAATCATATTCTTTAAAACTATATGCTTTTATGTATATGAAGCTTAACAGAGGGACCCAGTGAACAAACATTGGACAAAGACTTGTGAAATTGCTTTTCATATTAAATGATTCCATCCTTGCATATAGTAATTTATGGGAATCCTCCCTTTGTTTGTCTACTCTGGAGTTTGATGAGAAATGCCCAAAGGAGTGTTTTGTGATAATATAGTGAAATCTGCTAATTTATGGTTTCATATGGATATCTACATTTGCTCTACATTTGCCAGGTGGCCCCTTCCCATTGAGTTCTTTAAACTGAATTGTTAGATTGATTTTAGATCAGATTAGATTATTTCATGAAAGATGCGTGGAGTAGAAGTATTTTCTAGATGATTGTAGTTATATTCTACAATAGCACCACATGGTAGTTCCCTTCTAGTATGATATACCAATTCCATCTTTTAAATCTTGTGTGGAATTAAAGAGCAACTAAGTTCAAAAGTAATTATTTTTTATTTCAACTCTATAAAGTATACAACAGGCACTCAGCAATTACAGCTGCAGGAAAAATACAGAGCAAATCAAAGCAGGTTAAGTTTATGAAAAAGTTTTTAATCTACATCAAAAGAGTGCAAGTGGTCAATGACCATTTGATGACAGTTTGTTGCATTCTGACTAACAAAGGACTCTTTCATGTAGAACAAATTCTAAGAGGACAATCAAATAACCATAGCAGTAAGAATACAAAAGAACTGACCAGTTGTAAAAACATCATACATTGAAATAAATTTGATAGATGATGCTTAAAGAAATGTCCCTTTACTCAGAAAGCCCAAACCTCTGAGTCATGGTCAAGGTCCCAGAGCTCTGTCTGTTGATGCAGGGACAGATAAAGAGGAGGGCTTACAACATACTTTCAACGTTTTGCTTTCCAGGTCTGTCGAAAACTTGCCTCATAAATGATTTGCATATACAAGAACTCAAAGAAAGCATCCTGTTTTGTTGAGTGGTGCACCAAGTTACTTTTTCGTCATTGGTTTCAGAACGAGGTGTGGTTAGCAGTCATTTCTGATTTTCTTTTGGGTTGGACCATTGTTAATGGAGTCTATAAAATGAGATATGCTAGAACATGACTGCACTAATTGCTTTTTCACTGAATCTGCACAGCTTAGCAAAACAGGAATACCTGTATACAGACTGATAGTATGTCATATATTAATTTGACCTGCACATACATTTATACATTTCACAGAAATGACGCTGTATCTCATTAACAGATACACAGCTCTGGTACATTTAACAGAAATAAGAGAACAACTTCATCATTTCTGTAATTCATCAATATTATATAATAAAGGCTTATAAATTGTTAGCAGAAAGAACTGTAAAACGCAGCAAGCTAAGAAAGGACAACATTTTGAGGTGTGTTTGTCTTTGTCATGCAGCATAACACCAAATTTGTTTTTTTTTTTAATCAGATGCCATGAATTTAAGGCACTTGCAACAATGCCAGATAGCCAGGTCATGTTCTAAACTATGGGACAGATGAATAACAGTACTGTTGACATAGTTTTCAATAATACTGACAATTATGACATTAATTCAAGTCTACTTGGACCTAAAAACATTATTCAATACAAATAAAACAAAATAATAATGCTGTGAAACACTAAAAAAAGTTATACGTACCACAAAATATCACACAAAAATATCTATTTACATAAATATTTGTCTGTGGTCCTATTGTGAAAGAAAACAGTGTTATGGATAATGCACAGATCACCTCTATTGTATGAAATCAGTTCTAATATTCTTGTTGTCAATATGGTAGCTGACTTCTTTAAGTTCATCATCAGTTCAGTCATTTAAAAATGAAGCAAGAAAAATCCAATAGTTATGTATGTATCATTGTACATGTAAAATTCACATGTATATTTATAATTGTAAGTAAAAACTATGATTTATTAAGTATATAATCAAAATACATTTGTTTTAAATGCTACATGGGTCTGATTCATACTGTAATAACAAGGAAGGTAATAAACATAAAAATCAATTACAGCAATTTTCCACAAATAATTTTCTCTAATGTATTCAATCTATCTCAACTTTGATGTTCCTTTCCTTGGCAGTTTTCAGTTTTCCTGTGAATCAAGACACACAGAAAGCCCTTATTTCCCATACTGGAAATATTGACAAGAAAGTCATTTCACAAATCAAACAAGTTGGCACTATTCTAACTTATCTAGATGTTCTTTAATGTAAGAAAAAAGAAGGGGCATGAAAAATTCAGAAGTAAAATGAGATGCACTTTATGAAGCTGATCATGAATTATAGCCCTAGTGTCTTCATTAAGACAAGATTTAATTCCTTAAAATTAAATATTGTAAATCAGATGAATGTTTTCTGTTAATAATTCTTGGAAGATATAGTTCACCTTTAGTTTTTGGTGATTGCTTTAGACATCCTGATGCAATGTTATGGGTGAAATGAATAAAGATGTAGGTACAGGTGGGAAAAACAATCTACAGTTACGTTGTGCTGAATGCTACTTCTTCCTTCTCCACAGAACTTTCCAAATGGGTTGTCTTAGACGTGAACCATAGTCCAAAATGCACAGTAAGTGCTAATTTCTGGGACTTTTGTGATATTTGAAAATTTGTAGGATCAGATTTACTTTCCTAATGACAAGGTAAATTTAATATTCTAGCAAGCCTTTTGCATGCCTACACCACACAATCTTTAAACAAAAATCACTGAACATTGGTGGTAATTGGAATTATATATATATAATGATTTTGAGAATTTGTAAGGGAGGGAATGTTCCAATAACAATAATATCAATAATATCTTAGGATCAAAATTTTAATCAAATTTTATCCTAATTATACATAATACAAACAGTAGTTTTATGCTGAACATGTTTTAGAGTATATTTTGATATCATGTTCTAAAGTAGTTTTTTGAGTATGAAAAATTCAAACAAAATTCATAATTATACACTTTCTTGGCTAAGATATGACAAGCCAATTCAATATAGTTTTGCAGAAACGTCTACATTAGATTGATTAGTAAAACACTCTAATGTTAAAAAGCAAACCTGTCTTAATTATACCAAGTTCACACACAGTTCCAAGACAGCTTTGAAGGTTATACATTGGTCTTTGTAGGTGTAATGCTATCTGTCAAGGAAAAGCTTCCAGAAAACTCAGCTATTGACAGCTAATAATGTTCAACCAGCCTGCCGCCAACGGACCTGGTTTCATTTGCTGATTCTTTATGTGAAAAAAAGCAAATCAGTTTGATATTTTCATTTCTAGTCTAGTATAAATTTCAGGTTCACTAATATTTGTTTTATTTAGCTAAAATCAATTTTTATGAACTCAGGTTCCTTTTTCCTTCTCTAACCCTTTTCTACTTGAACAAATGTGTGGGCTTATTCAGGAAAAGGTAATCAACACCTGGACAATTTCTTGTTTTCTTTCCTGACCTCAAATGAGTGAGCTTCCTGGTTTTGTGAACTTTAATAACTTTGACATTGTGTTTTCTGACTTTCTTTTTCTTTTTTTCTCTTTTGGTTCAGGCCTAAGACAAGAAGCTAGTTCAAAAAGATTTCCAAATCACCTTTTTCTCTCAAACCTAGACTATGTTGTGTAAGTGAAATCTGACAGGTGTTTGGTTTAATAAATTTAGTGAAAATGCTTGAGTCTCTGGCTAGACATGTAAGGTTTAGAATTTGTGTTGTCTGTTCAGACACTGACATTACAGATGAAAGATATACATAGCACCTATATAGTTTTTTTTTTTTGGATGGGTCTTAATCCCTCCCCACCCTATCCCACCCCTAACTCAAGGGTTTATTTTTATAAAAGGAAATATTTTAAGCCTCAGTTTGAGGGTATGTTAGGTAAATAGTTAAACCAATTGGCTGCTAGTCACTTATTTCCAGGACCATCTTTAAGCACAATATTTTTTTAAAACATGAAATGGTTTTGTGAATTGCTTTTCCCCCCACTCTATCATGCCAATTTATCAAAAAGAAATGAATATCATGCATTTTTTTCAATCCTCTGCTAAAACGCATATATACCTGCTATGAAAGGTCTCAGGAGAATCCATAGCAGTTGTGCTTTTATCATATCAATTTTTAAAATCTGTCAGAAAGAAAAGGTAACATTCAGTCTTGTCATCAGCACTGCTGGGAAATAAAATCATGAAACTTCTAGCACTGGTTTGACATGAACTCCATGACCCACAGATGTGTGGTCCTCTTTTCTAAGGTATATACACCGGCTTGCAGTAATAGGTTCCACAACCTTCATTTTAAAAAAGGGGATAGCCCAGGTTCTGTACCATCGTCATCTATCGTACCAATATATTATTCTTTCATCTTGAAAAGTCTAGCAAGGTACAGACTCTTTTACTAGATTGAAGTGCTTCCTACAGTCTTTCAAATTATAGTCAGAGCAAAGCAAGATCGTTGCAACAATAGAAAACATCACTTTACTGGTGAAAGGCTTTGCTTCAGGACCACCATGTCAACTGCTATTTTAGGTTCAAACAGAAAACATGTAAAGAGCACTATTGTCATCTAAGCAATAAGTCCTAATGCCACTGTAGTTACTGGAGCAGCATCGATCAAAGGCATCATGGTGACCCCGAGCACTAATCTTCTCTCTTTCCCTCAAGTTTGCTGGCAGCTGTGTCTCAGAAAAAGCTGTCTTCAGCAAGGCAGAAGCAGGTAAGAGAAATACATTAGAAGTCTATATCCCAGCCTGAGTTGTCATCAGGCGGTGGCTCCTCACTGTCCTCAGGAAAACTGTCGAAATTACTTGTGTCCGTGGGTGATGCAACCTGCAACATGAGAAAATGAGTAGGTTTCTGATTTTTTTTTTTCATGGGATTTTACTTTACTCTCCATTATTAAAAAGAATTGTTATTTTTAAACGGATACATAGAAACATAAAAATTATACTTATCAGTGAGGTACCATGCAATTTTTGATACATGTGTGCATTGCATAATGTTTAAATTAGGTTAAACATATTTGTCTTCTCAAACATTTATCATTTGTTTGTAGTGAAACTTTCAAAATCCCTTCCTATAGTTTCTTGAAATATATAGTGCATTTTTGTTATCTGCGGTCACTGTACTGTCTGATAGCACATAAGAACCCCTTGCTCCTGTTTTAACTGTTTAGTACCCACTGATCAACCTCCCCCACTTCCTGTTTCTATTGCCCTATTCTTCCCAGCCTCTGGTAGTCCTCATTCTACTCTCAACTTCTAAGAGATGAACTGTTTTAGATTCTACATATAAGTGAGATCATGTGGCATTTGCTTTCTGTGCCTAGTTTATTGCTACAAATAACAGATTTGCATTATTTTTTATGACTGAATAATATGCCATTATGTGCATGTACTACATTTTCTCTATTTTGAATTTTATTGTATTTATTATTTTGGTACTGGGGATTGAACTCAGGGACATTTGACCATTGAGCCACACCCCCAGCCCTATTTTGTATTTTATTTAGAGACAGGGTCTCACTGGGTTTCTTAGCATCTCGCTTTTACTGAGGCTGGCTTTGAACTCAGGATCCTCCTGCCTTAGCCTCCCAAGCTGCTGGATTACAGGCATGTGACACCACGCAGCTCTATTTTGAATTTTAAAAAGCATTTTTGTCCCCTTTTCAATGACAATTTTTTTTTAGCATCTACTATGTAACTGGGTTTGAATTGTGGTTAATAGTGGTAAGTAAAAATAAAATAAATCCTCACAGGGATTTATATTACAGAAATAAATTGTGTGGTTAAAACCAATAATTAAGAAAATCTTTATGTAAGTATGAACTTTGGCTAGGGCTGCAATACACACACACACACACACACACACACATATATATGTATATATATATACACACACACATTATATATATATTCATATATATGTACACTTACATATATATGTGTATGTTTATATATAGTGCTTTGAGAGTATAAGAGTGAACATATAAAGCCTCTTGAAAAAGTATGATTTATAACCTAAGAATCAGTGAATTCAATATGGAGGGTAGCACATGCCAAGGTCCTGAGGTGAGACAGAGAGAGAGAGCTCCATGCTTTGAAGTAACCAAAAGATGCTGACATAACTGCTATATAAGAAATGGGGACAGTACGCAGAGATGAGGCAGATAAGCAGGCAAAATCCAGGCACTGTTCTTTATTCTCTATATAAGAGCCATTTCTAAACTTGAGCAAAATTCTTATAAATCTACTGGGCAAAGTCCAATCAGCAGAGCATCAGCAAGAAGCCAGTTTAATATTTCTATTGCTTAAAAGATCCCTTAAAAGATAAATTTAGGTTAGAATAATTTGAGTTTAGCATTTATTTATTTCTCTCTTCCAGCTTTTTTCTCTGCTTTTGTTCTAAAACCAAATCTTCATGAATGCAATTAGCATCTGTAATGTGGGACATGGTAATGGTATTTTTTTATTTTGTTTTATGAATACACAAATGTTGGCTCAGAAATAAATCTTAGAAAATGAAAAATATTTTCTTTATAAAGAGCAGACTTGAATTAATCTTAGAAAGAGGTAGCATATGAATAAAAGTCCCAGGATCACAAAGCAGCCCTCTCTCTCTTGATTAAGACACACTACATTTTATTAAACAGATGCAGTACAGATGAAAAATATCGATAGATGCAATCAGTTGAAATCTATTTCAGGTAATTATGATGTAAAGAGTCCACTTATAATCTTTTTCTTTTATTATTTATTTATTTAGTTTTGCACTAGGGATTGAACCCAGAGGCATTTTATCATGAGCTACTTCCCTAGCCATAAATATATATATATATATATATTTTTTTTTTTTTTTTAATTTTGTGACCCTCATTAAGTTGCTTAGGGCCTCACTAAATTGCTGAGGCTGGCCTTGAACTTGTGGTCCTCCTGCCTCAGCCTCTTGACTCACTGGGATTATAACCAAGTACCACCACACCTGGCTCTTTTTCTTTCAGAGCTTGATAGAGGAATGAAAGGACACGTTGTATCTGAGAGTGCTTCAAAGTCACATTGCGGGGCAGGGAGAACTACAGAGGCAGAAATGGAATGCTGGCCAAGAAATGACAGCCGCTGAACTGGTTGCTGCAGATTCACTTTGTGCTTCTGTTTACACATGCACATAGTTAGTGTTTACCACAGCAAAAATTAAATCATATTCATCAACACAGGCGACTGGAATGAAAGTGGAGAGTTACAAAAGATAAGGCTAAAACCCATCCATAGCAACCATCCCCAAAGTTATCTGTTTTGAAGTTGGGAGTTTAGAGTACTCCATCATTTTAATGGGGTACTTTGATAGTTTATTTAACCCATCACAGGGCAAAATTTGACAAATAACACTTTTTTTGTTGATGACATCAACACCAGAGAGCAGGTCACACAATTTCAGATGGAAACTCACTTACGCTTGGTATGATGGGAGGAGTCAAGGTGCCCTTCCTCAGACCTTCCCAGTTAAAGCCCTCAAACCATCTAGGAAAGGAAAAAACATCATCAGAGGCATAGTACCTTCTCTGGCGTCTTCCAGAACAACACGTAGGGTTTGTGTGCCCTAGAAAGCAATTAGGCTAATATCTTCCTGTGACAAAATGCTTTCTCTTGAATCATATGTTTTTCAATTATCTTATCTCATAAAAAGCATATTTTGAAAGTGTGATTGTCAAATTTGAACACCAACCGCTATGCAACTGTTTTTCTTGTCATTTCAGTCGTAATATCTGTATGACCTTGTTCCTCCATTGTCATTATAATTTATAAATGTCATAATATGATTTGCCCTGTGCCTTACTAGACTCTTTTATTTTAAGGAGATAGAGTCAGGCGATGAAGTGAGGACAGAAAATTAACTTTCCATCTCTGCCATTGATTCAGAGTGCAGCCTAAGCTAATTACCCTTTTCATAGTCCTCTATTTGTCTCTTCATATCCCAATTTCCTCACTTTTTTTTCCTTTTTAAGATAGAAAAAAGGTATTTTATATACAGCTTTTCTGTGAAAATAAGAACAACATACTGGCATAGGAAGGTGTTTTCCTTTTGTTCAATGAAGATGCCACCATTAGCAAATGTGTACACCAAATTCTGAATAGGCCTTCTAGATTTCAGATAGTTCAGTAAATAAGTTCCTTTGATAAAGATATGAATTTCTTGGGAGTGTCAGGTAAGCAGGCTAAGAGAAAAATCAGTCTATGTTTAGATTAGCTTTGGAACATCCAGCGAACCTGGATGTTACCTACATTTCAAAAAGGGTGTACTCTGTACTGCTTTCCTGTTATATTTAATTGGGAGATAGTTGGAAAAATATATATTTTGGCTTTAATCTAAAAAACTTAGGTATGCTATAGTGGGCAACTTTGTTTTTAATATTCTAGTAGGGAGTAGAGTCCCTAAATTAAAAATAAACATTTTTTTTTTTCCTTTGGGCCAGAGAGGAAAAAGAAATGCTAACTAGTGTGAGTTCAGAGCAACTGAATCAGTGAATTTGCTATAGCCACAGGGTTGTCACATATATCTAAGTACAGCTCAGGAGGAAGGGCCTTGGAAAGGCTAACCTGTCTCTACATGTAAGCTCTTTGGCTGTTCCTGTAGGAGAGCTGTATCCCTTATACACCAATAACTCTAAACATATCAAAATACACCACCCGAACTGTCTGAACTCTGACACCTAAAAGTTATTAAGAAAGAGGACTTACTTGTGCTTTTGAATGTCTTTCACTCCGTTTTTCAAATTTCCTAATCTTTCCGACGGGTTGTCCCTGAAAGTAAAATAATCATTTTGTTAAGTAATCTAATTATTTCCACATTATGATCCTTTCAAAAACAATGTGTTTAAAACAATTACCTGCATAGTTTTTTGATTAAGTTAGCAGCATTTTTGGCAATCTTCTTTGGAAATTCTATCATGTCAATCCCCCTCAATATGATGTTATAGGTTTTCATAGGATCTGGGCCTGAGAAAGGTGGGCTGTGAGAATGAGAGCAAGACATGATCAGAGACATTATTTTTACTTTCTAAATAAGAATGGTGAAATTTATAAACTCCAAAAATGATACCAATTCTTATGTTGGGGCTTACATTAGTAGTGAAAACAAAAAGAAATTCAATTAGCAGCCAAACACTATGCAAGCCCTTGGCAAAAACCATAAATGGGTGAGGTTTCTCTGCTGTTCCCCTCATTTCTGTTTAGTGCAGGTGCCTAGCTTCTTGCTGTCCTTGGTCATTAAAAAACTATCCCTTAACTCTTTGGCCTTTGTCACGCCAATCAACTTTATCCAGGGTTTTTGTTTCTTTGAGAAGAAATCTTGTGGATTATTTTATTTTTGTACTACATGTTTATTAATAGAAGTTTAAACTATTTCCTTTTATTCGGTAGATGTAAAATAGAAGCCCATTTGCTTTTGTTGAGGGATGTGACGCTATCTGTCTCATTTTCTGTAATAATTATTTTCTGTTTACTTTAATATGTTATTAGCTGTAAGTCAATTTTAGTCACTTTTAAAATGAATAAACATGAGATGATGTTTAGTATTCTCTTAGAATTTAAAAAGTTTTGTGTGATGTTACAATTGAATATTCTCTTTCTTAGGAATTTTGATCTTTAGTTTAAAAAGTGAGGAAGACACAAATCTGGCATTTTTTATGAATTGAATGCATTTTAATTCATGATTTTGCTTTTATATTTATATGTTTATCTTAGATAAATAGAACCAATTTTTTAAAGAAGGCTTTTGTGGTTTTTCAGAAGTGATGCACATACAGTCTAAGATATTCAGGCAATATGTAAAACTTAAAATTACTTAAAAGAAAAAATTATCAAATACCCCAAATATTAATTATCAGCATTTGATTAACATAATTTTGTATTTTTATCTGTGTAGATGGAAAAACATGGATTATATTACACTTGATTTTGAAAAATATAGGCATTCAATTTACTTTGACTTTATTCAACTGAGGAGTAAAACTAGAAATATGGTAAGATTCAAATAGCAATTCTTCAATGACAATATAAATTCCTGAAAGTTTTCTCTAAAGTAAAGAAATTTATAAAAACTTTGAATTTATACTTTCTTTTTTTTTAAATAACATGCTTCAGCTTTTCAAAACAATTAAGATTCCTAATTATAAATGATGAGGTATAAGTATACATATAGTTAGTTCTATTTTCCTCCTACTACTTCAACTTTGGTTGGTTTTGGTATTGTTTTAAGATTGTTAAAAATTATAACACTTAAATTCTGTACAGTAATACAAATTTAAATTATTTCAACTAAATTCTAGTTTTTAATGCAAAACTCTCCATCGATCCTTTTTCTAGTTTTTCTGATCCTGAGTGCTTTATTTGGACTCATCTTTCTGTGGACTTGGTCATGTAGAAGTGTTTTTGAGAAATGTCTCAGTACATTATATGTTGCATTTGTATTTTAAGAATAAACTGTCTTGTCTTGATATAAATACTTGGGTTTATACCATAAAATTCTCCAAGAACTTGGTATATTATCTTTAAGCAATAAAGGTGTCTAGAAAAGGTACAGCAATTCTAATCCTCCTCACAGTCAACACCATACATGATGTAATTTTGATGGCAATATGATTATCTTTGTCACTGAATTTGGAAAATCATACTTGACACATTGTGGTGTTATTTTTTTGAAGGTTATATCATGATCACCAGATATCAAAAGTATAAACTGAGGGGCCAGGGTTGTCACTCAGTGGTAGAGTGCTCACCTAGCATGTGTGTAGGACTTGAGTTCTATCCTCAGCACCACATAAAGATACATAAATAAAGGCATTGTGTCCATCTACAACTAAAAAAATATATTTAAAAAAGTATACACTGAGTCAAGTATTTATGTGATAAATTTTCTATTATGCAATTAAGCTTTTCCTTCCAATTTGTAATATCCTATTCACACATACAGTTGTGCTTTTCTATTTCCATTGACTTCTACATCCTCTTTCTACAAAAATTTCTGGATCTTTACTTTTCCATTTTTCCAACCTATGTACTATCTCTACAGCTACACTTTTTTTCTTTTCATTCATTTTTTTTAACATTTAAAAAGTTTTATTTTTTAACTGATGCATAAAACGTAAAAAGCATACATATTAATGGATTCCATATAATGTGTTGATACATGTATACTTTGCATCATACTTAAATTAGATTAGAAACATTTATCTCCACAAATGATTATCATTTATTTATAGTGAAAACTGTCAAAGTTCTTTATTGTAGCTTTCTGAAATGTGCAGCATAATATTGACATCTATAGTCACCCTACTGTGCAGTAGCACACCAGCACTTCTAACTCGTATCTAACTGTACCTTAGTACCCATTGATCAACCTCTCCCCATTCCATCACTACCCTGTACGGTTTCCAGCCTTTGATAACCACTGTTCTTCACTCAATTTCTAAAAATCAAGTTTTCCAAATTCTACCCAGAAGTAAATCATACAATATTTGTCTCCCTGTGTTTGGTTCATTTCACTTAACATAATGACCTCCAGCTCCTTTCTATGCTGCTTGTGGCAAAAGTCAGTCTTTCATCCTTTAAAATGGTCAAACAAGTGTTCCATGGAGTATATGTACCACATTGTCTTTATCCACATATTAGCTGATGGATACTTAGGATAGTTCCATATTTGGGCTATTGTGAATAAGACTGCAATAAACAGAGGAGTGCAGATGTCCCTCAACAGACTGATTTCATTTTCTTGGCTATATACCCAATAATGGGATTACTGGATCCTAGACTATAATTCTATTTTAAATTTTAAGGAAAGCCATGCCTATGATGCCCTTTCTTTTCCCTCTCTACATCTAAGTCCCAGTCTTCCTTTTAAAGGGTTGGCACTATAGGTCTTCAATTCTTGAAAAGCCTTCTGGACAAACGTAGTTCTCTACCAAACTCTGTGGGTCATAAGGCCCTTCCACTTTCTGTTCTTACTATATTTCGTAGTTATGTATTCACTTCTCTGTTAATGTTGGTCTTTGGGGAGCTTTTAATCTGTTTCATGCCATGTGATATTCCTAATGCCCATTTTGGTTGTTGTTGATTACAATATTATACAAATAGTCAGCAACACATTCACGTGTTGTGAATTCACACATTCACACACATATATAAAATTGCTAAGTAGTCCTCTTAATTCTATGTTAACCCTTGAATTTTTTTTTTTTAATTTTTTATTGTTGGCTGTTCAAAACATTAGATTATCATTTCCCTTGCTTCATTGTCAGCTACAAGATTAGACTCAAAATCTCAAATTAAGACACTGGATCCTTCTACATTCACATACGTATAAGGACTTAGCAATAATGAGACTAAAAATTGGAATCGATTTGTCTTCATTGGACGTATTTTAGATCTTTGTGAATTGTCATTAGCATAAATAATTAAAGTGTGAGATATGCTGAAATCTACCTAGATGGACTAATCACAGTGACAAAGTCAGGAATGTAAAATTGTATGTGGTCTATTTTTACTAGCAGTTCCCTATAAATGTCCATACCTGCCAGTCAGAAGTTCATACATTAGAATTCCCAATGACCAATAGTCAGCTGAAATGTCATGACCTTTGTTTAAGATGATCTCTGGGGCTACATACTCTGGAGTCCCACAAAAAGTCCATGTTTTCTTTCCAAATCCTATTTTCTTTGCAAAGCCAAAATCAACCTTAAAAAGAGAGAAAGATAAGATAGTAAGCCACTTATGATTAGGTTGTAATGCAATAAATTATTTTGCTGAATCATGAAAATAAAAAATAACAGATCCAGGCTATTATAATTTTCTTTTCTAAAAGGAATCTTGTATCCTGCAAACAATATTACCCTGATTGAACCCTGTTGCAGTGTGAAAAGTTGGACCCGAATATTGAATTATATTCACATCATTAATAAGAAAAGCAAACTTTCTTTCCTGAAGATTTTTTCATTTTTCCCTAATTTTATGCCACCAGACGTTGTGGCATAAAGAAAAAATTTCCTCTTTCCTCAAAAACATTAGAAATCCAAGTGCTCCTACCCAACATCTTTCCCAGAATATACTGATTTATGCTGGACTTTATGCAATTGACAATTTAATTAATATTAATTATTTGAGAAGGCACGTTATCATTGAAAGAAATAGTCCTGGGTTCTATGCTCAGCACCACATAAACAAATAAAGGTATTGTGTCCATCTACAACTAAAAAAAAATATTAAAAAGTATACACGAATCTGCCCCTGGTAAACATGAATAAAATAAGAGTGGAACCTTATTTTTTCAAGAAACCTTTTAAAAGAGGAGCTGCAAATGCAGAAAATCTATTTCTTTTCTAAAACAATTTGGATGTCACCTTAAATAATTAACTGTATTGATTTGATTTCTTTAAGAACCATATGCTATATAAAAATCCCAAAAGCTTAAAAATGGAATCAGGCACTGACAGATCCAAGACCCAGAAAATGTGTACATTTTAAAATAGGAGAACTTCCATTCTACAGTAAATCTTTAGAACTTTTGACATTATCATTATTATCATCATCATCATCACCTGAGAACATTATTGGCAGAGTTCAATTTTTACCATTAGCATTTTTCTTAAATAAATACTATTAACATGGTTCACAGTTGACTATATTATAAATGTGCCTTGCCTTTGGATGGCAGAATTCTGACTAGGAAAAATAACCTATAAGCTCTTTTAGGTCTATGAACATGCACCAGGAATAGTGTTTCTTAACGCTTGTCAAAAAGCATGTTTTGCCAGAGTAGTATCTGAAACTTAGACAACATAATTTCTTATAACTTTAACATAATTTGAAAATATATTTAGTTGAAAACTCTAATGCTAAATCCTTCTTTTAAGAAAAGTTGTAACACTGTAGTGGAAACCAGATTTTAATGTTAGCAAACAAAGACAGTTTTATAAATGGATATTTTAAAACTTTCAGAACAGAACCCATGTATGAAAAGCACTGACCAGTTTGGCATAACCTCGATGATCTAGGATGAGATTTTCTGGCTTGAGGTCCCTGTAAATGATTCCTTTGGAATGCAGATAGGCAAAAGCTTCCACCACACATGCTGTGTAAAATCTGGTTGTAGAATCTTCAAATGAACCTCTGAGACACAGACAATGAAATGAAAAGTGTATAAAAGTTAGTTTCTCTAATAAGGTTAATTTTCCTTCTCATATCGCTATATTCCTGGGCCAAAATTTAGCCCAGAGACCAAAGTCTGCCTATCTAAATGTCCTATAAGTGCCATTCATTCCACTGGGTTTTCTAAAGCATTTCAGGATCAAGCCAAGAGATTTTCTGTCCTTATGTGTGGGATAGTAAAAATCTAACTTCCTGAAAGGGATCAAGAAGAGTTCAAGCACATTCCAGGTTTCAGGTATGTGGTGGCTTCCTCTTAACAGCCCACCACAATCCACACAGGAACAGAGTTTCAGCAGTAGGCAGGGAAGAGAGTCAGTTCTATTTTAGAGTTTATCTACCACACATATGCTTCTTAAAGGAGTAGTTTAAGGATTTATTCCTATGTACTTTTAAAGAGCTTGTTTCTCAGTCTTTCTAAACATTGTAGATATAGTTCATGAGAATGCAAAATAAATAAAATTAAATTAAAAAGCTCATGTTTTTAAAGAACCATGTTGGAATCAGCTTCAATGAGCTCTGTTTTCAAAAATTCTGTCATCAGGACAAAAGTTTCCTACACTACAGCCTTCTTATTAGTAGGAGGAGATGGAGCTAAAAGACAATTTGGAAAAAAAGGTAACTAAAAGGGAATATTCAATTGATTATAATTTTTAGCAAGAAAATTCTGTCTCTTGTCTCTGTATGTAGAAGTGCATGTAAAACCTAAAATATACAACCACATCTGTGTCTATATATAGATTGACAGAATGAAATAACAATAAAGGAAAACAAAACAAAAAAAAAACCTTGACATCTAAGGTTGATTCCTTGATTCTACATCAGAATCTTCCTACTTTAGCTGTTTTTTCATGGAACAACTTAAAAAATAAACTTCCTTTTTGCAGTAGTAAGCTCAATTTAAGAACTGTGTAATTCAAGAAAAAACTCAAATTGGCTCAAAGACATAGATAGGAATTAGACCAGAAACCCTGCATCTGTCAGAAGAAAATGTAGGCCCAACACTCCCAACATATTGACTCAGGAACTGACTTCCTTAACAAGACTCTGAAAGTGGAAGAAGTAAAATAAAAAATCAATAAATGAGATGGTATCAAACTAAAAAGCTTCTTCATAGCAAAGGAAAGAATCAAAAGTATGAAGAGGGAGTCTACAGAATGTGAAATAAACCTCTGCCATCTGCACCTCAGGGCATTAATACCCAGGATGTAGAAAGAACTCAAAAACTTTAACACCAAAAACAAACAAACATGGGCTGGGATGTGGCTCAAGCGGTAGCGTGCTTGCCTGGCATGCGTGCCGCCCGGGTTCGATCCTCAGCACCACATACAAAGATGTTATGTCCGCCGATAACTAAAAAATAAATATTAAAATTCTTTCTCTCTCTCTCCCTCACTCTCTCTTTAAAAAAAAATTATTAAAAAAAAATCAAACAAACAAACAAACTTCCTGAAAGGGATCAAGAAGAGTTCAAGCACCCCAATCAATAAATGTGCAAAGGAACTTAACAGATACTTCTCAAAAGAAGAAATATGAGTGGTCAAAAAATACATGAAAAAAATGTTCAAATCTCTAGCAATCAGAGAAATGCAAATTAAAACTACACTAAGATTTCCAGTCAGAATGGCAATTAACAAGAATACAAGTAACAATAAATGTTGGTTATTAAATGGGGGAAAAGGTGCACTCACACACTGTTGGTGGGACTACAAACTGGTACAACCACTCTGGAAACTATTATGGAGATTCCTAAGAAAACTAGGAATGAACCACCATTTGACCCAGATATTCCTCCAAAGGAGTTAAAATCACTACACTACAGGGACACAGCCACATCAATGTTTATAGCAGCACAATTCACAATAGCTAAGCTATATGACCAACCTAGGTGCAAATGTGGCATATATACAAAATAGAATATTACTCAGCCATGAAGAAGAATGACTTTATGACATTTGACAGTAAGTGGATGGATTTGAAGACTGTCATGCTAGGTGAAATAAGCAATTCATCAAAACCAGAGGTTGAATGTTTTCATGAATTTGTGATAGCTAATCCACAATAAGGGAGGGGGTAGAAATTCAGTAGATCAGATAAAGAAGGGAAGAGGGATAGGAAAGGAAAGACAGTGGAATGAATCTGACATAATTTTCCTAAGTACATGCATGAATATGCCACAGTGAATCTCAACATTGAGTACTTCCATGAGAAATTAATTAAAAACATAACTGTGAGTAAATGGCAGAAAGATCAATAGAGGGAAGGGAATAGGAAGTGGGGAAAGGGAAGGAGGAGAGGTACTAGGGTCTGAACTAGAACATGATATATTGCATGCTTTTATTATTATGTCATAAAAGATTCTACTGTCACTTATAACTAAAAATAACCAATAAAAAATGAGTATGAACACCAGTTCTTGAGATGGCTGGGTTGGAACACAAGCAACAAGCCCAGAGATAGCTTGAGGTACTTTGCAATGAACAGTAGGCAGCAGCTTGTTCTGTTTGCATTTTGGTGACATTTACTTCTTTGTCAAAATTGAAGACAGAAATCTAACAAACTGGGCGGTGAAATATGAATACTTTTTTTTTTCCAAATTTATCAGTGAATCCAAGGCTATAGCAGCCACCTTTCAGGTCATTTTTCAGAAGTAGTGTGTTTCTTCCAATTATTCATATCCCTTGAATTGTCACTGAAATAATCAGCTTTTTTTCTCAAAGAAATATCATATATATATATATATATATATATATATATATATATATATATATATATTTGTAAGCATGGTGATATCCACTCCTCTCAATCATTACTAGGATTTTAGCCATAAGTACCAAGATTCTTGAATCTCTTATTAAGGATATCTGAATGGAACTATTGTGTATTTATGAGGGTAAGAGAAAGTTTCTTGGAGAAACCCTGCATCTGTAATAGGAACTGAGTGGTAATTTTTAAGCTGCAATTGTCCACTGACTTATACTATCCTTGGCAGAGCTAAGACTATATAATCCCAGTTACTGAGAAAGGAATTACAGTATTGCCTTGAAACCTCATTCTTTGCCCATAATTAAGTTAAATGTGCTTGTCTGTCAAGAACAGTACCTTTCCGTAAATAGGAGAGATTATTTGTTTACATGGTAAACTTGTTTATTTTTTAAACACACATCTTAATCTATACTGAATATGAGCTCAGTCCCTCCTCAGTGGAAAGCATTGCAAAGAAAAACAAAACAAAATTGTACATGGAATAGAGTCTGGTTAAATTTTGTAGTATGTCTTGTTTTAATCCACAAATGGGTTATTTCCTGACATCAAGGCTAACTGTGATTTCAGTGGGCCTTTTTGAAGGATTACGAATTCTTGACTACTGTTTGAAGAAGAAATTATTTCTGCAGTTGTGACTCTGGACATTTCTCCGCTGTCCTTAATATCAGCCTTTAATGGACCCCAATTACAAATGTATTTTTATTGTTGTAATGACAGAAGATATGGGACAGTTTACTTTTTCACGAAATCTCTGCAGAAATGTATGCTTATATTCTGAATAAGCTGGTCATTAACAGAAAGATGGAAAAATTCTAGTACACACTCAGGTTTGGGGGAGGAGGCTGTAGGTTAGAAATATGGACTTGGGCTCAACATTAGGTTTCATTTACTGTTTCTTTTTCTTTTTTAAAATTTATTGGTTCTTTTTAATTATACATTTAGAATTCATTTTGATATAATTATAAAAGCCTGGGCACTTACGGTTGATCTTCAGTAACTACATATTTCATTGAGTTTCAGTGTTCTCCTTTGCACTATGTTGCTAATAATAGTTATTGCCTCATTTGTGTTGTTGTGAGGATTCAAAAATTAATACCTACATGTATTTGGATAAGTGCCTAGCATACAAGTGGTACTCAATAAATATTTCACTATAACTGAACACCAAAATTCTTCTTTGGCAACTGTATCTTAAACTAGGAAAATTAGCCCATGTCATAGAGGATAACAGGTCGAAAGTCTTTGGTTGTGGGTGGTGAGGAATTTGCCACACTAACTCTCACTGTTAGTGAAATGCTTCTCACTGCCATGAATCAGCTCTGCAGAAATCTCTGCTAAATCTATTCTTTCCATTTCCCAATATTTCTCACAAAAATTACCCTCATGTTGCCTGCCAATCCAAATCCTCCCTTTTTCTCCATGAAGTTAACTGACCGCAATTCATACATCTTTTGTCATCAATTCCCCAAAGCCTATTTTCAGGTTTCTTTGTTCCTGAGCCAATTTGGAGGGTCTTAGAATGTTGGTTTCTATTTCTTCAAAAGACTGTATCAAGTATCTCCCATACACAGATATATTTGTAACATATTTTAAAAACTAAATGATGACCTTGAAAAGTCAACACAGTATACACATGCAAAGTGTTTATCAGCAACACAATGTTTCATCACTAAATACTTGATATATGAAATTTGAGAATTTAAAAATATACATCTTGAGGGCAGTCACAAAGCATAACATTAGGGTGACTCAGAAGGAAAAATTACTATTAGAATTGGAAATGACAATGTAAATTTGATCTAAAATAGAAGTGAAAGCTTGTTTAATCAACAATTTAGAGAGTTGCTTAAAAAATAAATTGTTTGACCTAGATAGCTCTTTGAAGTTAAAAAAAAAAAATTGTGCCTTGACATCTGTAACATTTCATGAAAAGTAAGGGATAGATTCTTGTGCCTTTTTGGAAATGGGTGGTTGTTTTTGCTAAATGATAGTAGATAACAGTTTGAGAAAATTAGAGGGTTATATGTATGTATTGACAAACTCAAATTAAAATTTAATCACAGTGTTTAATCATCTTGTCATAAACTGAGTCCTGAGACATCAGACATCAGAATATAACAAAGACAAAATATCTCTTGTCAAAAGTGACTAGGATACATTGACTAGTGGCAACAATCATTAATGGCTATATAAGTCTAAAGTGTGCTGCAATCTGTGAAGCTTATTGCCAATAGTAAAGTTAGGGAGACAAAATATGATGAAGAGAGACTCATTTCTTTTGACATACATTCAATCTAAGCCATCTATTAGGTCATTAAAAATGAAATTTAAATAATTATCTTACACAATATAGCCAGAAATAAAAAGAATGGACATAAAAATACTTGTTACTTGTGGGATTATAAATTATATCTAGGAAAACATATGAATAGAAAGTGAGATTCTGTGAAATTTGAAAAATATAGTTTCTGAAGTAATTATCTAAGATATTCAGTAGAAAAATTAACATATTAAAATTCTAATAAAATATATTTGGATGTTAAATTTCACTGGATTAAAATTTTATTAATATATTAAAATTTTATACTATTAAAACTAATATTGATATTATGAATATGCTAACATATACTGAATATTAATATATGTATTTATATATTTATTTATCATATTAACCAATTACATTTTAAAAAAGTTGCAGAGGTTGCCAATTCTTTGTTGAGAAGGAAGACAAATAAAATATAATTTGTCTCCAAAACTTATTGGAGACAAAAAGTCACCAACTAGAAGATAAAATGTTACAAATAATAAACCATGGAAATAGTAGAAACAGTTAACATTTTAGTAGTATAGCTAAAGCCTCAAAATAAAAAAAAATTCATTTAATAGTCCTCAAATTCTATTCATACATTAGTATCATTTTAATTCTCATTTCTTGACAACAAATGAAGAACTGTTCTGTGTTCCTTTTCTATGCTGATGAGAAGAAAGAGAAAAGCAGTAAATAGTCATCTCAGCTGAAGGTAGGAGAAGGAGGGTGTCTGAGACTTCCGATGCAAAATCTCAAGCTCAGAGATGTTTCATGGCAGGAAGGAATGTGGTCTTGTAAGCTTTCCTTCAAATGAATCCCAATTTTCTTCATGTCTTTTAAAGATAGCTTCTCCCTCACCAATACTTCCTTGCCCACAAGGGGAAAACTGTTGAGAGCCACAGCCCAGTCAGAATGATGCCTGGCATTTGCCAGAGGGAATGGTTGAAAGGTGACGCCAGCGAATCATTGAGATGATGATTTGAGTTAAGCTATATATAATTGCTGTGATGCTGGATTGATTGTATTGTATATTTGACCTTTACTGTCGAGCAATAGGGCAGCTCTTGCTGCCTTGGTCGCCCTACTTTGGAGTTCCCTTGAGTTCTCTAGGGGGTTCGGGGAGATTGGACAGAGCCCGGTGGAGGGAGTGTGTTCACGTGTGGTGTGTGCAGTGCCAGTGAGATGAGAATAAAGAGTTGCTGTTTGAATCTACAAGGCTTTGTGGCAGCTCAGTTATTTGTGCCCAGCCAGACTGCGGCAGAAAACTGAATGAACTGAATTGAACAAGGCGAGGTTTTTGATTTTTTTTTTATTACAGATATTTTCATATGCACTGTGACTAATAGCATAGGAGCATAATCTTTTGCTTGCCATTTTTTTGGTTTGTTTCTTTTTAACAATTTTTAGTCCCAATTTAAACAAACGGAATCAATGGCAATATTAACTGAAGTCTGGATGCCCCAAATTATTCTTTCCTTACCAGCAATGGAAAAGAAAAAGGAAGGCCATGTAGAATAGAAGCAGTAAGGCTATAGGTATTCTTACAAAAGAAAGTTGGCAGGGATGATGATTCTGAGTCATTTTACATGTACCAGTTCCATTGCTTTTAAGGTTGAAGCTCCAGCATTTCTGAATCTTTGGGAAGAATCAAGTAGCCCCTAGTTCTCTGGATCTAGCCTCTTCACAGGGTATTAAGTGCATTGGGGGACTCAGCAACGGTGTACCCAAAACTTAATGATGATGGGGAAGGAAGAAGGAAGGCCCAGAAAGCAGACTGGTGGAGGGAGAGAAATAGGACTCCATTCCTATTTTCCCACCATCCACTCACCCAAGGAAGTTGCTACTTCACAGTGTCCTTATTTACCCCAACAAATCAAAATGTATCTCAATCAGAAGGCATGACTGGAGTTGATTATCAAGTGGAATACAAAAATTAAGTTATGTAGGGAAATAAATGAAATAACATTCATTTGGAAAAGTGATGACGGTGCCTGTTTCAGGCCTCATGAGAGGACTGCACACATAGTTTTATCATGATTTTTGTTGTCTTGTCTTGTTGATAATGGAACTTAAGAAGTTTTTAAAAAATGTTATGAGAATAGAGCTGGTCCTTTCTCTGTATAGCTTATTATTTGCTTTCCTATGTAATTCCACCTGAAAATCTCATCCAACTCTAATTATAAAAAAAAAAAAATAGGGGAGAGATTTTAAGTAAATAAATAGATTGAAGTGTCAGATCAAACATAAAATGTAGAACCATATTAAAATATACCAGCTATTAATTCACAAATCAAAATATTAACTTAGTGAAACAGTCTGCAAATTCTGAGGAGTGGAACTACATCTGCTTTATTTATTGAAGTATCCCCAGCCTCTGTCACAATGCCTGGGATATAATCTGTCTTCAAATATGAATTCAAATGTTAATATGCTCTAATAAAATAGCTTAGTACAGATATTAAACTGATCCCTAATGTTAATATACTGAAATCCCTTATATGCTTTCTTACCTATTCCCTTATTTACTTTTTTAAGAAATCAAACAAAACACTAGTATAATAGAATGCAATATGGTAAAACCAAATCCATTTGACATATGTAAGTAAGGTCAAGGAAATAAAAGAACTGAAAGAGTGTGTTGTACAAAGATATGAAAGTACTATGAGAATGCCCTTAGGAATGAGAATTTAAATTGAGAGTTTATAAAGAGCTACTTGTTCTATACCAGGATATCTACAAAGTAACAAATGTCAAAAAAATTACATGGTCCCTGGGAACATCAGGGCTATCTACAGATAAGTTTTAGAAAGATGTAACCCACCAGAGAGTCTGAGGAGCAGGACTGAAATAATAAGGAAAAGAGAGATGTCTAAATGTGAAAGTTTTAAGGAGCAAAGATGACTTTGGCAAGTCCAGTAGATCGTTTATAGGAAATAACTGAAAGAGTATTCATAGGAAAGTAAAATTTGATCTCTTTTATTTGAAAAAAAAGATAGGTAGTGACATTCTGAGATATTTTATAGGACAGTTTTAAAAAAGATAATTTGCTACTTATATAAATATGAGATGAAAAATTGAGATATAATGAATTTTAATAATTAAAAGAAACAAGCACTATTGAGACAAACTTTACTTTCCCTGGAAGGGTAGAAAAGTAAAACCAAGTCAGATTGTTTACATGAACTGTTATGAATAAAGGATTCATTTGTCCCTAAGATCAGCAAAGTCTAAAAGAGATGACTAGAAACTTGTATTAATTTTGAAGAGCAATAAATTGAAAAAAAAGTTTGTAGTGCCATGAAAGGCAGATTGCCCATATGAAAAAGTGAATTCAAACTATAATCATAAAATGTCTGTAATTATTTTCAAGTTAAAGCAATGTGTTAATTCCAGGTATAGAGATTTCTGATTCTGACACTCATGCTAAGCTGAGATCTGTGTATGTGCTTTTCTAAGTGTCTTTTTTATGGTAGACTAAGCCTATATCATTATTTTCATAGTGAATTTTATATGTATTATAATAAATTATACGTGTATAGTGGATTGTACCTTTTGTTTAACTTACATTTTAGAATATAAATATATGTAAAATGTAAATGTAATCTTTATACTTTATAATAATGGACTGTTCTTATAGATCATCAGGGGCAACTATGTTTTTAGATACACAATAGAATTTTCTTAAATCTCCTACCTATCCCTGAGAATGGTCCAGAGCTCTCCACCTAGGCAAACTTCCATCAACATATACAAATATTTGCTGTCCTTAAATGTTCTGTATAGCCTGTGAATTACAAATAAGAAAGTAAAGGTTATGAACACTATAGTGTTTTAAACACATTCAAAATTTTTAAGTTTTAAGAAATTAGTTTTTCCTTTATTTTCTTTTAATTGACATGTACTAATTTTACATATTTATGTGGTTCAGTACATACTTCAATACATATTTACCCTATTTCATAATCACATCAGAATATTCAGCATATCTATTGCCTCACATATTTATTGTATAAAGTTAGAATTAGGAGGAATAGTTCTGGTGCTCCTCTGGAGTGTAGGGAACTAAGGCTGCTATTGTATTGAATATTTCAAAATAACTAAAAGAGTTTGATTGTTTTTATCACAAAAGTCTGCAAATTTCTGAGTGACTAAATTATAGTTTGTTGATACTGCCATGCTTAAAATTTTATCAGAAGAAATGAAAGAGAATTAAGTCCACAATCTGGGAAGAGGATCCAAGGGCAAGTGACTTACACACCATGGGGCCATGTAGCTCCCTTGTGGTGGATCAGTTCAAATGATTGCGGACAAGAAGGCTTCATGGGACTCTATAGAGTCCAATTTGGATGATGTATCTGGCTTGGACTCATTAGCATAAACTTTTAATGGGCATAAACATGCAGTGTGTATGGATATAAGTATGGATATAAAGTAGATCAAATTTTATATATAATGTATGAATTTCATGTGGTATTCACTTAAATTCATATTATACCTTATCTTGTATAAATGCCATGGCAAGTTAAGTACAAAAGCTTCTTCTACATATATTAAAAAACCCTCCCAATTATCCTATTATTAGTGTTTGTGAAATATTGAGGTGGAAGAATCAGTTGTCATTTTATTAAAAAAAATCTTCCAAAAATTAAGTTAAACAGCTTGATTTTTTGACATTTTGTCTTTTAAGCACCAGAGGTCTATGTACCATTGTAGGTAACAGGACGAAAATGAAATCTTAGAAATTGATACCTCCTTTGGGAAAAGCACATCTTTTTAGAGAATCTGATTCTCTAAAAAAAAAAAAAATGAAAAGAATAGAATCAAAACTTTATATTTTTTTAATTAAACAAAACTTTAAATTCCTTTATGCAAATGAGATGTGTGAAGGGTGAGCACAAGTGGCAGAGGATCTGTGGTTGATTTGCCACTGGAGTTGGTGCTGGGACATTTACCTCACTATGAAGTCGGAATGAGCCCCCTGCATGATATGCTTCTCTGAGCGGATGTGCTCCTGCTGTCTGGTATCCACAATGTGGCGTTTCTTGAGAATCTTCATTGCAAATGTTTTGGATTCTTCACTTTTCAACTGGACCTTAAAGAAAGGCAGAAGAGAAAAGAGAAGAGAAGTCTAAAGATCTAATACAACAGAGTGCACTGTTATCCTGAAATGAACAGGTACATGGGGCACCCCGTGAACCCTAACTACCATCCGAGGCACTCACAGCCTAAGTTTAAAGCCCACAGTGCACAACCATTGTTTAGCCTCATTGCATTGGATGAGTTTTTGCATGCTTGATTCCAAGCTGATTTTGTGCCCACATGGATTAGAAGAAGAAAAATATACTTGTCATTGTTTCATTTCATGAAATGTTTTGGGTATATTTTATAGTTTTTTCCTTTCAATCAAAAAAATTTCTTCTCTAATTTTACTTCAATCTTTATAGCAAATGTAGGACCATATGAATCTTTGTGCTCATTGTTCTTAGTCCTAATTTACAAACATTTTTAGAATCATTAAATTCTAAAATATACAGATATATACACTGTACTGTTATTTCTTCTTTAAAAAAAAATCTCTCAATCTTTCCCCTTCTTGTCAAAAAGGAAAAAAAAAGTAAACAAAATTTCTAAAAATTTGGAAAATTCTTTTTTTCTTTCCAATATGCCTTATAACTTAAGTCTCTTTTGATATCAAATCTTACTCCTTGGTTTCATTAATTGGAGAGATCTAAGCTAAGATTTAATGTCACCGAGGTACCAAGACCTCTATGGCAGCCCTCATAGCTCCCAGTGGATCTGGAGGAGTCTTGGTATCTCCAAGTACTATACCTCAGACGGGCTGCTGGTCTCTGTTCACTTTTACAAGAAGTTAAACAAGGTGACTTATAAGGAAAGGAAGAGAGATAACTGAGCTAATTACTTAATAGCAACACAAAGGAGCTATCATCAAGTGCTCTTGAGCAGCAGAATCCTCAATGCAATACTGAGTGGCCCACATCTTAACAATCTAATGAAAGTTTTGGGGAAATAAACATGGCAAGCTGATTTTGATTTTCAGTTGAAGTATAGCCCTCCCCCTTTTAGCTGTGAATTATGTATGGCTTTCATCTGCAGGGATAGTGAAGTTCTTAAGTGCCCTGTCTATGCCTGTGGGTACAGACTGAATTCAACTTGAGAATACATTCATGTGGAAAGTTCCTTAGGAAGGAGCATGAGGATACTTCAAATAAATGAGTTTCAGTTTGCTGTCACCATTTGTGAATCTATGCGACAGGTTAGAGGAAAAAGTGGATATTTGAAAATGCCACTAACACATAAAGGCCCTCTACTGTGTGTGCGAAACTCTTCAGGATAATGGAGTAGTGTGCTACAAATGGATTCAGTTGCAGTTCATAATAAAACAAAATATTAAAACCCACTTATAAAAGGAATCAAATAGGGAAGATGGAATAGCAAATGAGCTATATCAGAGGTACTAAAATTCAGAAGGGAAAGAGAGTCACATTCCCTCTTCAGAGTCACACCCAGTTAAACCACTTGCATAGACTAAATGCCTACTTTTAAAATTATCTCTTTATTGACAACTAAGGTTTTTCACTTGTACATAGGGAAGAGGAAAGAAGTCTGCTTTTATGGTCATAGGTCAGGACTTAATTTCTGACTCCAGTTAGTCACTCTTGGGCTAGTTGCTTAACTCCTCTAAGCTCCAGTTTTTTGCTGAAGATAATACCAGCTACTGTACAGAGTTACCAGGGCCTTAAACAAAATAGTACCACTGAATGAGCATTGTTTGATGATCTCTCTGCTTGTACTCTGGCCTTAACTGGACATTCATACCAAATCAAATTTTGCTTTTTAAGATATTCCTTTTACAACATTGTCACTATCAAAAAAATTTGGAAACTATATGTCCATCAATAGGAGTATGGAAAATTAATTATGATAAGCTAGAATTACAATTAAAAATTTGAAAAAATAGCATATATATATATATATATATATATATATATATATAGAGAGAGAGAGAGAGAGAGAGAGAGAGAGAGAGGGTATTGGTCATAAACCAGCCAACATTTTATGATATCATAAATAGTATACTTAGTGAGTGTATATCTACCTGTATAATACCTAAAATAAATTTATGGCAGGACAATCAGAAGGTCATCAGTACATTAACAATAGTTTTCCCTTAGGGAGATTTTTAGTTGTTTTTTTACTTGCTTTTACTTTTTGAATTATTTAACTTTTAATTAATGTATCATACTTATGTGATAAATAAAAATAAACTCTAGTCATAGAAAAATTAAAGTCTATTTTATATTGTAAAATTTAAGTCTATTTTATATTGCAGTAGCTGCTTGTTGTTTTTGTATGACACTCGTAAAGTAATTTCACTTATTTTAGAATTCCATGAAAACAATGACCTTTATAAAGTGCATTCTATGTGATGCTATAACATAAAAATTTAATCAAGTTTTGGGTTAACCACACTATTCATTTCCTTGGAGGAATTGTCATGATTTTTTTCAATATAAACTCTTAGGGTAAGTTATAACAATTTGTATTTTGTGAACTGCAAGTATTATGTTTCACTGTGGAATTATTTTTAACAAAATTGATCTTTAAAATTTTTAAAGTGAAATTTAGTCTGCCTTTTCTTTTTTCCTATTTGCCAGATTAGTTACATTGAGTCCATGTACATGAATTTGAGATAGGGATGATTTTTTATTGGTTTGTAGCCAGTCAGCTAAGGGCTCAGAAATGAATGCTAAATGTGAATAGAGGTCGGCAAAGAGGAGGATAAAAACACCTTTCCTTCTTCCTCTTGCCTAGGAATCTTACACAGTCCTGTGGACTAGGAAAGCACCTCAGATTGTCTTCCCTTGCAGACTATCCTAGCATGCTAAGGACACAGGAGACACACTAGTTGAGTATGAATGCTCCAATATTTAACTACCCTAGGCTGGCTATCTTACTCAGGTTACTCGAACTCTCTGTATTCCTGTTTCTGCATTTCTAATACAAGAAGCCTCCTCATAGGTTACCTGTTAAGTTGAAATAGAAGGACCCACATATCAAAATTCCTGGAATAGAGTTAGCATTCAATGACTATTAATTCTCTTATTCTTTCATCTTCTTAGTTTAATGGTCTCTTCAGGTCAAAGCGCTGTCGTCAAAATATGCCCCACCTCTGGCTGAATATCACTTTGTTCCTATCCCAACCCCAGCCCACCCCAGTGCTACTAAATAAATAAGTTTGAGAAGCTACTTTAAGATTGTTGATGCTTATACCACAGTGATTTTACTCTCAGAATTCCTAGGGAGGAAAATTTACAAGAAAAAAATGCTAATATTCAAGATTGTCTTTTATTTTATACAAGTAATACTATGTGCTATGTCAAATTAGAATTTATAAAAGTTTCTTTTTGCAATAAAATGTGACTTCAATGTGAAGCATTATACTGACATTTAAATGAATGTATATTTGGGCAAAGTGACTCGTAACATGCAAATTTCTGACATGAATTTTGACAAATCTTAGCTGTTAGACTCCAGCTGATGCCAAAATGATACTACTTTGAAGAAAAGGTGAAGCAATCAGAATTTGAAAGTTTCAAAGACACACTTGCTGACTATATTTACACACCCCTTACTTCCCTTCTGGACTAGGTACTTCCTCCAAAAGACTTGTCTCCTGTTTGACTTAATTGTTTGCCCCTACTTTCAGGAAGGAGGGTAATGATTGGGACAAGGTTAAAACTGGCTCAGTGCTCCTGATTGTGAGCTGGTCCTTAGAATATATATCCATTCATCTATTTAACCTTTTCATTAAGAGTTCATATTTCATTTTGCACTATAGACAAATTTTCATTATTTTGAATAAAAATGACTTCTTGAACTACACTGTAAATAAAATTATTTCTTAAATGCAAGGCTCAAACTTTTAATATCACATGGCTCCTTATTATGCAAAATTACTAATGTGATCAAATTATTCTTTGATGCACTATAGGAAAGGGTAGCTTGCACTTAGGTAAGCTAATGCTGTAAAGCAAATATGATAAAGTGGGCCTAGTAAACCTCATATTGGAAATCTAGGTCCTAGTCCTGGTTATACAATCTCACTTGGCCTTCAGGTCACCTTCCTGAAAATGAGGTACTAAACTATGTCATTTCCAAGGGCCTGTTACCCTGGAAATTTCAGTGCATCTGTAATTTACCATAGCAAAGATGTGTTTCACAATACCACATCATATTTAACCTCATGAAATTGGCAACCTGTGGCACTAGCTTGGGACAGAGGGAAAGGGGAAATATCCAAAGTAACACAAGTGTAGCTTAAGGAAAGATGACCGTTCACTCTGAAAATATGGCCTGGAGTCAGTATGTTCCTATTCCATTGCGAGATGGAAGATTCTATTTTCTTTATTGTCTCAACCACACATCTAAAGGGGCTTGTTTTTTATTATAGTCAGTGTATCACCAACTTCCAAAGAATATGACATTGGATAAAGCAGCAGTAAATTTCCTAAGACCATTCCAACAGGCTCCAAGGCATAAAGAAATCTACATCAAGTCATCATAATTGTAGTGGAAAATAAGAATGGCAACTATTTTCTCTAAACAAATCAGCACAGGATTTTAATCAGGTAATCTGAATTGGGTAGTAAAGCATGATAAAGTCATTTCTTTATTTTTGACTCTCTAGTCTAAAAGGCAAGGGCCTTCAAAGTAATATAGAAATAATTTGGCAATGGTCTGTAATTCAAGTAACCCACATTTAATACAAATGGAAAGGATTTAAGAAATTTATGACAAACTGTATAGTGGGAAACAAAAGGTCTATAATGGAAGTGGGGAGGGAAGGAAGGAAGAAAGGATGGGGGTGGGGAAAGAGAGGGAGAGAGAGAGAGAGAGGGAGAGAGAGAGAGATACTAGCCTAGACTGAGATAGTGTGAATATGCTATTCCATCAGATTAACTGTGCCCAGCTGCTGAGCATACTGCTCTGTACGCCAGTTACAATTAGTTCTCACCCAGAATCACCCAAACAGGCCAAAGTCCATAATCAAACTTTAACAGCCTGGAGACT